CCCAAATCTGACTGTCTCCAAAGACCCCCGTAGTGGCCCGGCACTCAATGTGGGAGGTCTCAGGGGTGCCTGGGGCTGCGTGGTGACAGGGTGATGCGAGGCACCTGCTGGCTGGGTGGCCTTGCAGAGACCCAGCCCCCCTCGTCCAGACCTCAGCACACCCCGTGCCACTCACACTCAGGCACCAGCACAGCCTGCCACCCCACCCCACTGTAGGCACACACACGGACACGCACACACACTCACACACGTGCGCACCACACACACATGCACGCGCATACAGGGACACATACCGCACACTCAGACACATGCGCACACAATACACAGGAACACACGCGTGCACACACATACCCCACACACACACAAGGGACAGGGACACACACAGGGATACACACACAGGGACACACACACACACACACACACACAGGGAAACACACACATATACACACTCGTCCCCAGCCCCCAGGACGCTGCTTTTTCAGAACCTCACATGTCGCTTCTGCAATAAAATTCTTTAATTAAAACATGAATATTTAAAACACCCCTTGAGAGAAATGGCCCATCTCACCAAAGGCAGGAAATGCAGAGAGATCACGGGTGAGAGACAGACGTGCTGAGAGACCCGAGGTGGGGGAGCCTGGCGGCCCCAGAAAGGGGCTGTCAGGTGGGCAGCGGGGCGGGTGAGGGGGAGGAGAGCGAACAGTTGCTCTGGCCTGAGGAGGGTTTGCGGGCGCCTGGCGCGTGATGTGGCCATGTGGCGTTTGGGCAGGCCAGGCGGGGGCAGGGACTGAAAATGGGCCACAGGCTGCCTGCTCGCTCCCCGCGTGGCCGTGCGCGGCCTGCACGGGATGGGATGGTGGGGCGCGACTGTCCCAGCCTTCCCCAAACACACGGGTCGGGGGGCTCCCTGACATAGGGCTCAGCAGACAAGATTCAGGCGTTCTATGCCTCCCCAGCTCAGCTGTGTGGCTTCTGAATGGTCCTCTGCCTCTCTGGTCCTTGCACCACCCTGTCACAACACATTCACACACATGCACATAAGTGCACACACACACACGTGCATGCACACACGCATGCATACACACCCGTGCACACACACCACACATACACACATTAGGTGACCAAAAGAGCCGGCCCTGCTGTCAACTGCCACTTATGACTCTGTGACCTCAGCCAGGTGTCTTAACGTCTCTGTGCCTCCTTCCACTCAGCCAGCATTTATTGAGTGCCTGCTGTGTGCCACTCAGCCAGCATTTATTGAGTGCCTGCTGTGTGCCAAGTACTGGTCTAGGGGCTCATGAGTGAATGGGGCAAGTACCCTGCCTGTGGCGCCTCCATCCTAGCAGGCACAGACAGACAGTGGTCAGCAGACATAGCAAATAAGGGCAGCCACACTGTGCTCAAGGACAACATGTGCTGTGGAGAGACAAAGACAGGGCGCAGGGGTCAGAGAGCTGCGGCAGGGACACTGCCATTTTATACAGCCTGGCCAGAGTCCTGCCACCGAGGAGGTGACGAGTGTGCAAGGGCTCGAGGGGGCCAGGTCTGCAGGTGTCAGGCAGAGGGCACCGCCCATGCAAAGACCCCGAGGCAGGCACATGCCTCCTGGGGGCCGAGCTCACCGGCGGCTGTGGAGAGTATGCAGACGCTGCCGGCACAGTCAGCGTAAATGACTGCTGTTATTACCACTCAGACCATTTTTACTTCCAAGGTCCCAGAAGCATCCAGTCTTCCGGATCCAGGCACTGAGGTCTGGGCCACCACATCTCTGCATCAGGGCCTGGGCGACCACCGTCCACCCCATGCTGCTAGTGCAGAGAGCTCCCCACCTTCACATCGCAGGCTCTCTCCAGATCCTCTCCCCACAAGACCCCCAGGCCCAGCCGCACAGTCTCTGGGGCTCTGAGCCAAGGCTCTGAATCGGCCCCTGCAGAGCCCCGCCTCAGCACACACGTGCACAGACATATGCGATGCTTGCACACTTGCACGCATGGATATGCCCACAACGCACAGCACACATGCACCCGTGAAAACACATCCTGGCACACAGGCACATGCACAGATATGCACACACATGCATGCACATATATACACCTGCAAGCATGACCATGCCCACGATGCACAGCACACACACGAACACACATACTTGTGCATATACACACATGCACAGATATGCACACACACACATGCACACACACACACACCTGTGCAATACAGTACTCGATACACACTTGCACACACACGCACACAGCTCCCCACCTCCTCCTGAGCACCACCTCCAAACATCCCCTTTCTCAGGGTCTGCACACATACCCCAGACGGCCTGAGCCGGCTCTCCACACCCTCCTTCCTCCGTCTGTCTCTTTGTTCTCCAAGCCCCCTTGAGGCTCCCTCCTGGGAACACCTGTGGGCACTGCGATCTCAGCACCACCTGTGCTTCAGCTCGGACCCGACTTCGCCCCAGCCCCCTTCCTCACGCCAGTCTGGGAAAGTCGGTATTTTTACTCTTCCCACTGAGTGACAAGGAGCCTGAGGGGATGGCCCGGGGACACAGGACAAGACAGGGACAGGCTGGGGTTCGAGCCCAGGCCGGGGGCTTTGCCAATGTGGTTCAGGTGCCACCTCCAAGCACCCATCACCCCAACCCATCCCGTCCTGGCACTCCAGGCCCTTTAGCTCACATGACACCCCGCCTGGACGCCCCACACGCATTTCACTCAGTCCCACTGTGACCTCTGGATCTTCCCCCCTCTGCCACCCCACCTTGGTTGATGTTCCCATCCCAGCCCAGAAACTCAGGAGTAGTCGGGATGTCTTTGCTCCTGCCCTCACCCTTCCCCTCTGCAAGTCTGTCAGCCCCACCCCTGTGCCCAACCAGACCAGGCCTGCTGGCTTGGCGTCCCCTCAGAGCCCGACACCCAGTCTGCTACATGGCCTGAGCAACATGAGAGCGCGTCACTTTGGTTAAACCCCCCACCGCCAGCCCCTCTGCCCTCTACCCAGGAGCCCCATCTGGGGCCTCCGCTTGCTGGCACCCAGCACCTCTTGGCTGGGCCAGCAGGTCGGGGGTACAAGTGAAGGGTGAGGCACCGGTGTCCTGTGGGGCCACACGCCTGGACACCCTCCACCTGCCAGCCATGTGCCGCACCTGCCCTTCCTCCTGCACCCAGCACGGCTCAGCCCTCCCAGCACCCCACGCCGTGCTATGAAGAGCAGCTCCTGTGGACTGGAGGTGACTAGGGACCAGCACCTGAGGCCCATCCTGTCCAGCGCTACCACACGACCTTGCCAGGCAGCCAGCGTTTTGTAGATACGGAATCTGAGGCTCCGACGCGGTCAGGAACTCGCTGGGGGAGGGGGGGGAGTTCCTGCGTCCACCCCCTCCCACACCAGCCTCCAGCCTCCACCCCACCTCCCTTCCCCATCCCCCTCGGAGAAGGTGCCCTTGCCAAGGTCACGGTGACCTTCATGCGGCCCAGCCTGAAGGTCGGTCCTCAGCACCCTCCACCCAGCGCTCAGCAGCCCCTGACCCAGTGCAAGGTTTCTGGAGAGGCCACCACCGCCCCCGCCCCCGGGGACCCTGCCTCCTCTTCCTCAGGTCCCTGTGGGCTTGGCCCAGTCCCCCACTCCCTAACACAGGGGCCCGGACCCCTCCTCTATCAACATATACTGCTTGGCTGGGTCTCATCTGGGTCTACGTCCCCTGAACAGAACCGCATCCTAGGCTGGCTGGCTCCCTCTGTAACCTACGGGGAATCACTTTATGCCTCTGAAGACATCATTCTGAGCAGGAGCCCACGGCTAGCTGGATGCCCCCGGCGGCTGCCGGCATTGAGGCCAGGGACCCCCACCACCCTTGTCACCCCCACCCGGCCTCACCTCGTTGCCAGCCTTGCCTGCTCAGCCTCCTATCTCCACAAGGAGACCCCACAGTGCAATTCGGAACCCTCAGCGTCCTCCCCAAGCTGCCTCGCCCCATCTTGGTGGAGCCCCAGCCTCCCAGGCTTTTGGACAGAACTCTGGAGGTCCTCCTAGCCTGGGACCTCAGGGTGAATGGGGGGACTCCACCTTCCCAGGGGGTGCAGAGCCCCCCGCCCGCCTCGCCCTCCACACACACAAAGCCTGGCCAAGCCTGGCCAAGCCTGGCCACAGCCTCCTCGCGGCAGAAAACCTGCCAAGGTGCTTCACGTGGCTGACGACCCCTGCCTGCTCCAGGCCTCGCCCGCTGTGCCCCTGGCTGGAGCAGAGTCCCCGAGTCCACAGGGTTCACCCCTCCTTGCTCCCAGAAGGCCAAGCGGGTCTGTCCCACCCCCGCCGAGAAAAACCATGGCCCACACTGCAGCTGCTCCCCCGCCACCCGATACAGGTATCCGTGCATTCATGGTGTCTCTCTCCCTCCCCGCCTCCCAAAGCTGCCCGACAGCACCAGAGACGTCTGCACGCCCGCAGCACTCAGCAGCCAGCGCCCGGACACGGACAGTTCGTGCAGCCAAGCCACACTCGAGGCCTGACTCTCACCTCCTGTGTCATGTCCAGATAACGCTCCTCCATGCAGGCCTGCCCCCAGCCTGGACAGTCACCCACCCCTAGAGGCCCCGCCGACCCCATCCCCCAGCCTGGACAGTCACCCACCTCTAGAGGCCCTGCCGACCCCATCCCCCGGCCTGGACACTGAGGCCTCCCTGGTCCACTAGATCCTGCCTGAGAAAACGGAAGGCCCACCCCCTCAGCCAGAAGGCAAACCTCGGCACCCTGGAGCCCAGCCTGAGCCCTGTGGACCTGGTCTCAGCTCAGGCCACTGTTGGTTCGTTCATTCATTCACTCATTCAGGAAACACCGTGGCTGGACCCTGGGGGTGTGGTGACTGGCAGGCCACAAGGCACAAAAGCTCTGTCCACCCCACCCCCTTGGTGCTGGGGCAGCCCTGGAGGGGAGACCTTCGCTCCCCACCGCTCCCTGCCTAAAGAGCCCCCCTGCGGTCCCTCCCGCCAGCCACTCACCTGCAGTGCCGTCACCACCCCGGTCCTGGGTCAGGCTGGTGAGGCAGTTCTCGGGGCCACTGGCCACGCCGTCCTGCAGGCAGACGTCCCCGCGGGGAGCCGGGGGGCCGGCGGCAGGGGGACCAGTGTCCCCACCCAGGCAGGCGCAGGGGGTCTGCATGATGCCACAGGGATGTGAGCTGCGACTACCAGCCAGACAGGCGTCCAGCCAGCGGCACAGCATCTGGCAGGCGGCGTGGCTGGGGCTGCGGTTGCCCACCACCAGATACTCCACAGAGAAGCCGTCGCTGGGGCCCGGGGGCCTGCTGGGCGCCTCGTTCAGGGGTGGCCGCTGGAGTCGCATCTGCAGGAACTGCTTGCTGGCCTGCAGGAAGGCCAGGGGCGCCGAGGGGTCACACAGGCGCAACACCTCGTCGAAACTCTCCACGCCCAGGTAGGTGCGCGTGGACTCCAAGAAGGAGTCGAACTGGTAGGTGTGGACACGGCCAGGGCCGTCACAGGGTTCGGGTGCCTTGGCCACCTTCATGTAGAGCGTGTAGCGCCGTGGGTCTGGATTGCGCAGCGTCCAGGAGCAGCGCGAGGCGTTGGTCGGGAACACGGAGGCCGCCGAGAAGTACCCGAAGAACTTGCCCTGCACCAGCGTGGCGCACGGCTCGGGCGCAGGCCCCGTGTCCAGCCCCGTGGCCGCGCGCGCACGGCGCCCCAGTAGCAGCAGGAGCAGCAGCAGTGCGAGGATCCACAGGGCGCCCGGGGCGGTGGCCTGGCCCCTCATCCTAGCTCGCGGGGCCGCTGGGGTTCCGCGGGCTGGGCAGGCTGGTGTCGGCCAGGCCTTGACATGCCAGGGGCCGGCGGCGGGCGGGGTGGGGCCGGGGCGACAGGGAGAAGGGCCGGGGCGCCAGGCGAGGGCCAGAGGGCAGACAAGGCACGGCTTCAGACGACAAGGAGGGCAGCAGCAGCTCCTAACGCTGGGGGCCCAGACGCCCGCCTGTGGACGCCCGCAATACCTGGAAGAGAGAGAGCAGAGGGCAGTGTGAGGCCCCAGGCAGGCTGGGGTGCACGGGGCAGCACCCACCACCCAGGGCTCCCAGAGGAGGGTGGCTCAGCCCAGGCCCTGCCCAGCAGTAGGGCCATCCAGACCCAGGCCCAGTCACAGACCAGGTGCCGTCTGCCACCTGTCTGCCGCTCGTCCACCAGTGTGTCCACCGCAGAGGCAGTTCCAGCCCAGGGGACGGAGGGCCTCCACCTCCACCCAGGCCTGAGCAGGCAGAGGTGGGTGGTGCCAGGCCAGCACCCACAGGGCCTCAGGCTGGCCCATCTGGCTTGGCTCCCGAGGGCTCCTCCTCCCTGCCCACCCCCGGCCACATCGCGGGCCCCTGTCAGCCTCTGTCCCTCTGCCTGGCCTCTTCCAGCTCCCTGGCCCCTCCTGCCCGTTCCGCTCACCTTCCCAATCCCCGGCCTTTCTGGGAAGAATCCCAAACATGACCACAAGTGGGGCAGGGAGAGAGAAGTGTCATTTTGGCCATGCCCCAGCCTCCCCGTAGTACCCTCTCAGAGCCCCACCCCCAGAGCTGGGATGGACTGCAGAGCACCCCCCGCCCCCACCAACCTGCCCCCTTGTTGACTCTGCTTCTGCTCCTTTCTGGAAGGTTGACATGGGGCCCTTGGCTCCGCTCTGCCCTGCTCGCCCTGGCCCCTCACGCCCACTGCAGCCCCAGGGGCTGCGCCCCTCCACTGCCTGCTTCCCTGCACGCCCCTGCCAGGACTTCCCTCTGCACCCGCTCACTCACTTCCTGGGCAGGGGTCCGCTCGCCCCTCAGGCCTGCAGCTCCACCTGCACTGAGCCTCCATGCTCCAGGGGCCAGTGCTGCCGTCCTCACTTTGAGGAGCAGACAGAGGCCCAGAGGGCGGGGGGCTCACCAAGGTCACAGGGAGTGGGTGGGTGGGAGGGAGGGCCGAGACTAGAGTCCCGCCTGACCCCAGACCGGTGCCACCAGAGCACCTCCCAGCTCCAGTGGTGCCCCTCGGCCCTGGGGGAAGGGAGGCGGCTCCTGGCACGTGGCTCAGGGAGCCGGGCACTGGCCTGTTCTCACCTGCTGTGAGACCCTGGCAAGTTCCTCCTGCCCCCAGACCTCGGTTTCCCCTCCATCCTCACGGCCCCTGGCCTGGCGGTCTGTCCCACCCTGCCCAGCTCTGTCCCGAGCACAGGTGCCCACCCCGCTGACCACGGACAGCCGGCCACCTGCCCACAGGGCCTGGCCACTCCCTGCTGCTCGGGCCCAACTGGCAGGTGACACAAGGTTGGTCACTGCTCTGCAGTCCCCTCCTGGCGTCCTTCCCACACGGGCCTCGTGGGCGGGCAGGGAGCCTGCAGGCGGCCGCCAGGGCTGGCCTCGGCTGGGCCGCGCTTCCAGGACGGGAGCTGGATGCCTGAGGCTGGACTCAGGCCCCACCCTCCCTGGCCCTGTGGCCATGAGCACACCCCTGCCCCTGAGCCTCAGTTTCCATCATCTGCACAATGGGGTACCCCACTGCTCTCTGCACGAGGGTTAGAGCTGGACCTGAGCAGGGATGCGGGGCTGAGGCTTGCCCAGGGGTGGAAGGGCCAGACCCAGCCCTGCGGGGCCTCCCCATGACCAACGTTCAGGTCCCAAGCAAGGAATTAAAAATATTTTTAAAGGCAGGATAAAGAAGAAAAATCTACAATGCAAAGTTCTCACTCAGCTTTTTGGGGCAGACCTGGGTAGAGGCACCCCTCCTCACCTCTGCCCACACTCAGGGGACTGGCCTGGGCAGGGACCCCCAGTCCCTGGCACCCCCCCCATCATGTAGACGGGGGCGTGTAGAGAGAGGAAGGACTGGCCGTGGTCACTGGCCCAGGCCCAGGAACCCCGCCCAGTTCCCTATGGCACAGCCCCGCCCTGCCCCCTTCCTGTCCCAGGCAGGGGCCTGATGCAGCCACAGCCACCCCGACTCTGCTATGGACCCAGCCCTGCAGGGTTCCCCCAAGTCTCCCAGAGTCCCCAGGTGAGCCCCCGCAAAGCCCAGCAGGACTTCAACCCACTGCCGCTGGTCACCCCACTCCTGAGCACCTGTGACAGAGATGCCCTAGAAAGACCCTGCCACAGCCCTGGAAGCTCAGTCGGAGGCTGGTGAGGGCGGTGGGGGAGGAAGCAGACGGAAAATGCCCAGCAGCCATGAGGGTAGGGGACGCCAGGGGAACTTTGGGGCCTGGACAGCAGGAGGAAGGAAGTGTCAGCGGGCAGGCAAGGGTGGGAGTGGGGGTCTGAAGCAGAGCCCAGTGGCCCTCAGGCAGCCACAACCCCTGGAGACCCGGGACCTCCGAGCGAGCCTTCAGCAGGCTCCGGGAACCAGAACTCATCTGGAAGTGCCCACTCGCAGGTTCTCAAATAGGGTTCCTCAGAGCCCTGGGGTTCCAAGGAGTGCCACAGGCCGCCAGAGAGTCGGGGTGAAAGGGGTACAGGGCTCAGAACCCTTCCTGGCACCCTGGATTCACCAAGAACACCCCTGACCTGAACGGATGCACACACTGGCTCAGGGAAAGCTTCTGGGTGCACGATACTGTAGCCGCTAGCTGGGGTTTGAGAACTGCAGAACTGGCCCTGCCCACCTCTCCTGGCCGGGTCACCGGGCAGAGCAACACCTGGCCGCCTGCCCACACCCCCTGCCCACCCAGCAGCCCACAGACGCCTTCAGTGACTGGGCCTCTCCTCCCGGCTGACACCTGCCAGCCCCCTCTGACGAGGCTGCGATAGTGACTCTGAGGCCCGTGGCTGGCTGGCACCTCCAGCTCCACGCCCCCCAGGAAGGGCCTGGGGACACCAAGACTATGTTTTCAGACTTCTGTCCCTCCCTGTGCCAGGACCTAAGCGGGGCATGGTAGACCCAGGTCACGCGGCCGTGGCAGGGGCTGACAAGCCGGCAGTCAGTCCCACCCACGGGCAATTGGCCAGACTTCCGGCTTCGGCTGGGGGGGGGGTAGGGGGTGGTGGCCTCGCTGAGAAGGGGCAGGAGTGTGTGTGTGTTCAGTGTGTGTGTGACTGTGTGCACAAATGTGGTGTGTGTGAGTGTGTATTGTGTGGGTGTGTGTGCATGAGTGTGAGTGGGGGGTGTGTGCACACATGTATGCAGATGTGCATGAGTGTGTATCTGCGTGTGTGTGAGTGTGGTGTGTGTATCTGTGTGAGTGTGGTGTGAGCGTGTATCTGTGTGTGGTGTGAGCGTGTATCTGTACGTGTGTAGTATATGAGTGTGTATCTGTGTGTGTGTATGCATGAGTGTGAGTGTGGGGTGTGTGCACACATGTATGCAGATGTGCATGAGTGTGTATCTGTGCATTGTGTACTGTACGTGTGAGTGCATGAGCGTGTGTCTGCGTGTGTGTGAGTGGTGTGTTATGAGTGTGTGAATGCGTATCTGTGCATGTGTGAGTGTATCTGCGTGTGTGTGGTATGTGTGCAAGTGTGTATCTGTGTGTGCACCTCTGTGTGTGGTGTGTGTATGAGTTGTGCAAGTGTGTATGCGAGTGTGCATGAACATGTATCTATGTGTGTGTGTGGTGTGAATATGACTGTGTGCAGGTGCGTATCTGTGCATGTGTATTTGTGCACATGGATGTAGGTGTGCATGAGTGTGCATCTGCATGTGTGTGGTGTGTGGTAATATGTATCTGTACGTGTGTGTGGTGTAAGTATATCTGTGTGTGTGGTGTATGTGTGTATCTGCGTGTGTGTGAGTGGTGTGAGAATGTATCTGTGTGTGTGTGAGTGTGGTGTGTGTATCTGTGTGAGTGTGGTGTGAGCGTGTATCTGTGTGGTGTGAGCGTGTATCTGTATGTGTGTAGTATATGAGTGTGTATCTGTGTGTGTGTGTGTGGTGTGTGTATCTGTGTGAGTGTGGTGTGAGCGTGTATCTGTGTGGTGTGAGCGTGTGTCTGTATGTGTGTAGTATGAGTGTGTATCTGTGTGTGTGTGAGTGTGGTGTGTGTATCTGTGTGAGTGTGGTGTGAGCGTGTATCTGTGTGGTGTGAGCGTGTGTCTGTATGTGTGTAGTATATGAGTGTGTATCTGTGTGTGTGCGCACACACCTGGAGAGGAGTCTTGCACACCGTCACACCTCAGGAGGTGAGGGTGGGCTCAGTGCCGCCCTCACCGGGCTATGCGGGGCCAAAGACGAGGGCTGGGAGAGAGGCACCCCCCACCCCTAGCGGTGTGTTTATGAGACCCCAAGGGGCAGGGCCAGAGACACAGAGTAGCTTGTCCCCGACACGCAGCCAGCCCAGGCCTGCTGACTGCCCGTGCCCACCTCTCCCAGACCCTGCCAGGAGACAGGAATCCCAGGAGCCCCCAGCTGACAGAGATGGGCTGGAAAGAGGCTCCTGGGTTTCTGATCCTGGCGCTGGGGCGGGTGAGGGAGGGGGTCCAGCCTGGTTCCTGGTTTCTCATCTCGTTAAGTGTCCACAGTTTAATTAGCGCCAGCCCTCTGCCTCTCAGGGACGTGGCGACTGCCTTGGTCCCAACCACAGGCTGTTCGGGTGGCCACTTGTCCCCCCCGCCTCCGCCAGGGCAATCGGCTGCATCACCCGCTGCCCCTCTTGGGTTTCCAAGGACAGCGGCCGATTAGCATTCGAGCCCTCGCAGGCCCTCCCTCTCCCCGTCACCTTCCTAGGGCCACAGTGCCCTTGCTGCCTGGAAGTTCTTCGTGGTGTCTAGCCCCCATCCCTCCTGCTGCAGGGGAGGCTGGCCAGCCCTGTGG